TATTAACTGCTAAAAAAATGTTTTATGTTAAGTCACCTTTAGCTGCAATTAGCGTTTCAATTCTGCGCTTTATGCTTTCATGACTGTAATGTCTCTTGAGTTTGTGAATGATGGTTTGGCACAAGAATAATTTCAAAAGTTGCACAATATGTTTAGCAGATAACTGCACAACATGTATAGCAGGGAGTTGGGAAATGTGTTTGGCAGAAAGCTACATATTGTTTTGGCCAGCAGCTGCGCAATGTGTTTGACAGGGAGCTCCATATTCTGAACAACGATTCATAAAAAGTTTACAATTTTCTTTTTACGTAACTCTGCTCAAGTTGTAGTACTTATTGACTAATCAAATATAAACTATTTGGCCAGCGGCAAGCTAAGAGAGAGAAAACTAAAAGGTTTATATATATATATATATATATATATATATATATATATATATATATATATATATATATATATATATATATATATATATACTCCTGTTTCTTTGCTTATATTTGACGCAGCCATGTTAAAGCACATACCAACAATAAGATTTTCACATTTCCACGACATCAATAATTCATAAACTGCGTCTGCTGCAGACTGACCATAGCCAGAGGTCAATTTTGGCACTCCTAGGAGCTTGATACTGCCATCAACAAGGGACGAGATCAAAATAGCCAAGCGATCCACCTGATTAGTGTCATCACCAGTTAAATCAGACATCAATTTCCCATCCCAGTGTATTACTGGTTAGCAAGGAATGAAGTCATTCTTAATTTTTTGAGCAGTCTCACAACGTGAATGTTGACACTTCCGATGAACTGTGCTCTTTGATAGAGCTGCAGATGATATTGAACATCCTACTTCATTCACCATGGAAGTTAGAATCATGTTTGATGTTCGAATGCTAAGGTTCACCCTATCAAGAGCTGCAGCACTCTTAATTGCCAACACTCTTGATAAAGAGTGTTGGCAATTAAGAGTGTCCAGAAATAAAACATCAAGATGTACTTTGGAGATTACAAGATGTATGTTGCGGATTCTCTTAATGGGGGTAATACTTCGAAGCATGATATGTTTCTGAGATATATAATATTACGGTCATCTGTTACTAATACACTTGCTGTTTGGAAAAAGTTGCTTTTAATTCACCTCAACAGTTCGATGAAAACAGATGTGGAGTTTTTAAACTAATATTTGCAGGAGCTGTTACAAACAATGTGAACATATTGTATATCTAAAAGCTGTGGCATTATACCGTCGATACATTCGTGCTAGAATAAAATACAAGAAATGTGCGCTAACGTTGACAACGAAAATATATGTGATACTTTGTTTTGTGTTAAACCCTGTGGTGTTCGTTTAAAATGGTCACAATGCAATCAATATAATCTTTAGTATCATAATGCCTGCGGCCATTGTCAGTTTTTTTACACGACATTTTAATGAAGCCGATGCATTTAAACAAATGATATGTTTCCGGTTTATGTTGTTTAAAACTTTGTTTACTTTTGTAAAAAAAAAAATTAAAACAATTAATATTTTTATCACTTGTAAATTTGGTATATTAATTATATAAGTTCGTTTATTTATATATATAAAAAAGACATTTTTTATCTTTTTTTATTTTTTATTTATATTAACTTTATTTCGCTTAGTCAGCGTATTTTTTGAATTAATAGAAATAATTGTTCGTAGATTTGGCGGGTTTTTAGCGTTTGCAAGTATTATTTTTTATTCTTCTTTTTTATTCTTTTATCCTTCTAGATGTTTGAGAACATTCAAGTTTATCTTGAATTAACTTTGAAACTTAATAATTGTTTTGCAGACAAACATGGAAACATATATAAACTTAAGTGTTCTCAAAACAAGAAGAGATAACTTAAGAATCGATGGGTTACCGGAAAATGATAAAGAAACTTGGTCACAAACGGAAGAAAAAGTAAAAATATTTCTTGAAAAAAATCTAGGTTTGTTGGGAATCGACATTGAACGTGCACATCGTACTGGAATTAAAAAAGATAATCGTACAAGATCAATCGTGATGAAATTAAAAAGTTATAAAGATAAAATAAAAATATTGAAAGAAACGAATAGATTAAAAGGATCAAATATATATGTCAACGAAGATTTCTCTAAAATGACAGTTGATATTAGGAAAAACTTGTTTGCAGAAGTTAAAGAACAACGTCTAAAGGGAGAAAACCTGAGGTGAGGTATGACAAAATTATTCATTTAAAAAACGCGGTAAAATACTCAATCAATGTTCAAAATTAAAAGTAATGCAGTTTTATTTATTTAACTTTTTTTAATTTTTATTTTATTTTTTTCTTGTCTTTATAAATGGCGGAAACAATTAATTATAATTTTTTTAAAACATTTTCTGGTGAAAACGTACGTCACTTTTCAAAGAACATTGATCCTGACGTAAACATTCTTGACAATTATTCATTAGAAACTAACTATTTTAAAGTTCATGAGGTTACAAGTATTTTAAATAAATCACTACATTACATATCATTACTAAATATAAATATTAGAAGCATGAGCAAAAATTTTGAAAATCTAAAATTAATGCTAAATAATATAAGTATTAAATTCAGTATAATCTGTTTTACAGAAACCTGGTGTCAGAGTGAAGATATGAGTAACTCTAATTTGCATTTAACAGATTACAAGTCTGTTCACCAACCAAGAAAAAACGGTATTGGCGGAGGCGTATGCATATTTATTCACAACTCGTTGACGTATAAAAAAGTAGATAATCTAAGTGTGAATAACTCAAATTGCGAATCATTAACTATAGAGATAATAAACCAAAAAGAAAAAAATTCGTTTATAACAGTTTTATATCGACCACCTAATGGCAGTTACAATCAATTTGAAAATGACTTAAGGCGAATATTAACTCAAACCTCTAAAAAACATCTATACTTACTCGGAGACTTTAATTTAAACTTGATAAACTTAAACACTGATAACCACGTCAAAAATTTCATAAATACTCTTTCTCAATTTAGTGCTTACCCCATGATTAACAAACCGACGCGTGTAACTCGAAAAACATCATTTATCATTGACAATATTATCACTCATAATTATGGTAACTCGACAATCAACAGTGGTTTAATCAAAACGGATATCAGTGACCATTTCCCTGTTTTTTAACTACAAGTACTAAATGCTGTATAAATAAAAAACCCATAACAGTATACATAAGGCATGTAAACAAAGGCTCGATTGCGATTTTTAGACAGCTTTTGCGTGAAATCAATTGGGAGTTATTGAATGATTGCAATGACACATGTAGCGCATACGATTTCTTTATCCGCGTCTTTACAAGGCAATATGAAAAGGCTTTTCCTAAAGTTCAGAAAACTATAAAATCCAAAAGTGTGCATAGCCCGTGGATGACTAAAGGTCTTTTAAGATCATCAAAAAAAAAAAAAAGCTTTACGAAAAATATTTAAAAAACAAAAACTATGAAAACGAAACTAAATATAAAAAATACAAAAACTATTTTGAAAAAATAAAAAAGCAATCAAAAAAAAACTTCTATTCTGGACTACTTCAGAAATCATTTGGAAACGCTAAAAAAACTTGGACTATAATAAAAGAAATAACAGGGAAAACAAAAATTACATCTAGCAACTTCCCTAATCGACTGAAAACTGATAAAGGTGAAATTTTTAATAAAAAAACAATTGCTGAGAGACTGAATAATTTTTTTATAAATGTTGGGAAAAACTTAGCCAAAGAAATCTCTCCAAGTAGCAAAACATTCCAGTCTTTTTTGAAAAAATCAGATTTTATTATGGATAATTCGGAACTTTCCATTGAAGAACTTCGTTCAGCTTTTGACATGCTTCAGAAAAATAAAAGTGCAGGTCTTGATGAAATTAATACAAATGTTTTGAAAAGTGTCTTTGATATTATCGAATTGCCTCTTTTCATTATTTTTAAACTTTCATTAAAAAACGGGGACTTTCCTGATCAATTAAAACTTGCTAAAATAATTCCAATTTATAAAAACGGTGACGATTCTTTAGAATCAAACTACAGACCCATCTCAATTCTTTCCTGTTTTTCAAAGGTACTTGAACGTATTATGTATAATAGAATATATAACTTCATCGATAAAAACAATATTTTATATCCTAAACAGTTTGGATTTCGGAGAAATCATTGCACTGAGCATGCTGTGAT